ATTTTTTTATACTGATTATACTTAGAACCGACATGGAATATGTCTGCCCAACACCTTCGTTTCACGCTTCACTTTCTCTGTGCGCGTCTTCTCTTTTCTCTTAGTTCTCTCTGAGAGTTCTTCTCCTTTGCTTCACGTCTTCTCTTAGTTCTCTCTAACGCGTCTTTTTCTCCTCGACAAGCTGCTCCTTTACATTGAGGGCAGAATTCAAAAACACCGATGTCGCGACCCTTTCCAGATCACCAAATCACCACTTGTCAAAACCCTCGTGCTATTGGACCGTGACTCCTCTAGAAATTTTAAATCCTCTTTTTTGTTGTGTTTGGGAGATTAGAGTTCCGCGACAACACAATAATGAAATTTAATGTGTACATATGCTCTATTTTGTTATATCTAGCAATATAACCTATTTGTTTTGATGATGCTTCTTTTTCTTCTAATATATATATATATAAGTAAACGATAATACAAATTCCAACTAAAATTTCAATCACGTTTTGACCTGTATGGACTTTTACTGTATGTGTTTTATTAAAATGAGCTTAAAAACAAATACTCTTTTATTAACTCCTTTATTCGACTAAAACCTTAAATTATTGTATAAGTTAAAGTTTACTATGTTATTGTTTCTTTATTAATATTTTCAACGGTATTGCATAATTCGTTAGGAATTAAATTTGAGAATAATACTAAGCCAACAAAAAAAAAACATTAATATTGTAAAAAACCGTCAGACTAAAATGATGATGGTTTTTTATTTCAAGGAGTTAATTAATTAAACTCATGATTAGGAGCACCTCTCACAACATTAATTTTGCAAAACTATTGAGGTAATGAATATACTTTACTTTAAAAATACATAAATATAACTTTGGTAGACATTATATATAAAAAATATTTATTTATTTATCATTTCGCATTCTAATGTCTCATTTCAACTAATTTAGGAATAAGTAAAATTTTACTAAATATTGCTTTTAGGAAGATTGAACTTGCAGAACGTCCAAACAATTGGTTATATAAATGAGAAATCCATTTTTTTTAAAGAAAGTTTATATAAAATACAGATGCTGTTTTTGTTTATTTCATTCTTTGATACTAATCTTTGCCTGGA